TTCGCCTTTATTAAATTAAAATGTTTTAATACCAATATAATTGATATTTAATTGTTAATAATTCCGTACTAAAAACTCTTTCGGTAAATTGGTCGTTTATACAAATAAGCACTGAAACGACGAATTGGCAAAGATATCGCGTGATATATAAACAAAACGACATACTTGCAATCGATTTTAGCACCTACTTCTTTTTCGGTAAAACGCTGTCGTGAATACTGTCAAAGATTAAGGTTCATGAGTAAGAGCAATTGAAATAACATTTTCAATTTCAATAGAGTCCGTGATTTATCAGTATCTTTGTCACTTTTGACTTATGTCTAAGTTTGAATGTGTTTGAATTATGTATGTAGGTATATTTGTCACTTATACAAGGAACAGCAGTGGGAGAGATGGACATGATTTAGATGCTTAGACGTGAACTGTAGGTCGTAGAATCGATTCCCGCTGGGGGAAGTATCTGCTCTAACCATAAGCCTTAAACATTGTACAACCGAAAATGAGTAAAAAAAACAAAAAAAATTTTTACATTTTAAATGAAGCTTATGAATCAAAAATAATTTTGTTCGAAATATGTTTTTATTTAAAAAGAATATGTAAGTTTATTATATCAATACAATTTTTTAAATTTCTGTTGTTTGACGATTGTATAATAACATCTTGTCAAGCCGACGTAACCATCATAATGCAATGAAAGCTAATATAATAAGCTTTAAGCTCAATTGTTCTAGCATTTTATATGTAGGCTCAAATATCTCATATAATCTCGTAAAAAATTATCAGATATCATAAATATGTTGTTTCTTTTGCTAAAAATGATATTTATTTGAAATTATTACTAATAATGTAGAGCAATAAAGTTTTCAAGAAATGTATCTTTTCGTTTGGTTTAGTTTATACTGACCCTACTTGCTGTGCCAGCGATCGTGAGTTCGAGTCCCGCTGGGGGCATTCATTTGTGTGATGAGCACGAATGTTTGTACTCCAGTCATGGGTGTTGTAATATTTATAATATGTATGTATTTAAAGTTATATATGTTTAATGTATCAACTATCTGGTATCCATAACACAGGCCTCGTAGCTTAACATGGAACTAGATGGTGCTGTGTGTTAATGTCCCAACTTTTATTTATTTATTAATACAATCAACCATTTTAGAGGTAAAGCGCAAAAAATAGGAATACTTAGCCGTACGCTGTCACCTTATTTAGTGAATGTTTTATCAATTTATTTATTTAGTAAAAACACTATTGATAAGTCATATTTAGAGATTATTCTTAAATATAAAATAAAAACTTAATAAAAAAAAAAAAAAACGTTACTTTATATACCACTCTAGGCGTTTTTTGGAACTTGATATAAAATTATCGACTTTTTTTCTATGGCAATTTTTTTAAATAACAAATAGGCTTTAAGTTATTTAAAGGCATAGTCCATACTTCAACTCCATCTGCCATTTCAAAGTGAAAGAGTAACAAACAAAGAAAAAGAAAAAATATATAAGTACATAGTTAAAAATGACGATTTTTCTAGACAACCTTTATTTAAAACATCAAACTATGAGATAGAAGCTTGTAAATGTTAAATAGTTATAATAACAAGTGATCAACAAAACAGTCATCAAAATCGGTCAAGCCGTTTAGAAGAAAAAAATTATGAACATACAAACATTTAATTTTTATATATAAAAATTATATAAAATAAGCACAAGTAAACCCAGAAACAGTCAAACTAGTGCATAATAAGCGCTAACAAAGCGTCAAACGGCAAGTGACCCCAAACGTTTCGTCTTTAATTGGAGGTTTCGTATTGGTCGATTTTTGGTCTCTGACTGCGCATCGTTCGGTGATTGGTGGGAAAAAATAGGCCACGCCCACTTTGTGGATTAGGGGAAGGGTAAGGGGGTGGAAATGAGAGTAACGATCTTGATACTTTATATTTTTTATGTATTAATATTTTTATTAATTTAGAGTTTTTGTTGTAATTAATGATAAAAAATAGCCCCTTTAAAAAGCCCAAAATTATTTTCTTAGGCATGCGGGTTTTGTAACGGTTTTTTCTTTCACCGAAAAGTGCAAGTAATAATTGTGTTAAGTTGAGGTTTAGAACTGGGGCTTGACTTCGGTTCAAAGTTGATTTCCATGAAAACGAAATCACTGTATTATAATTTATATTGTATGGGTATATTATCACTTTTTTAAAAATTGATTTTATAAAGTAAAAATTAACTTAAAACTATTTTTCATATATTTTTCATTTATATTATATATTTTTTTATCTTTTAAATTTAAATATTATATGTATGTATGTATGTGTTTTTTCACTTCATTAAGTATTTGTAGTAAGCAGATTCCCTATCGGAAATCGTAACCAATTTTAAAGCTTACGTGAAATGTTTTTAATGAAAAAAATTTTTTATCCCTTTTTCTTGACCGATAGTAAAATGCCTTGTCTGTCTGGTTGACTTATCAATTTGTCTAAAGCCCTTTATTGTATAATATCTACAATAAAAGTACCTATAGATTAAAATATCGATAGACATTCAAGTAAATGCAACTGCTACTATTAAGTAAATAGTAGGTATTATAAATTAGTACCCCCCACACGCACACACACTTTTAACTTACACATACTCCTTTACACACTTACAATTACCTTACACATACTCCTTTCTCATATACTCTTTTTATATCCATATTATTTGAATTAGTAAGTACATACTTCGAAAACGAAAAACTTTTTTATCTTAGCTAATATAGAACAATATATGAAAATACTCCTTTCAGGAATCGAACTTACAAACTCTGCCATAATAACAAATGAGAAGGCGCCATTATTATTTTTTTAGTATTTTTTTTAATATGAAAGTATTAAAACTAGTACATTACACTACATCCACTTTGCATGGGATGATCTGCCCCATCTTACGGCAACTTAACCCGTGCTATACGATATGTAATCTGTAAGGTGCGTACAGACAGTGGGTATTTTATATATACATATTAGAATTACTTTTAAAAAATATAAATGACGTTTTTTTTGTGAAAACTGGTTCTATCTATAATGATAAAAAATATATGAGAAAGGCGTAAAAACATCTTGGATTTTTTTTAATATTATATAATAATAATAAGGATAAATACAAAAGTAAAAAATTCGCTAGGCTTTTCTATTTTTTTTTTTGGTATCAGGAGTTGGAAACAGACAGCCAGAAAATGAGAAAACTTGATAAGTATACTTTACCAGGCCAAGCCTCACCCTGGGTCGTAGAGTCAAGATGATGAAAGTGATTATTTGTATTTTATCTTATAGTTATCTATTATAACAATATAACTCTGAGCGGAACCGTGGGAAGATTTGGTAACTCTTGTCTCCTAATAATGAAAATTACGAAAGGCTTAAATGACTAGTGATCCACTCTGGCTTCACCTGGTTAGTTTTTTTAATTTGATACCTTTCGAAAAATATTAGTTACCAATATTTTTAACCCGTATAGGTATCACTTAAAAATTTTCAACGCCGTTATATGTTTCATTGATGTTATCGAACGCAATAGCAAGTTTCAAGATAATTCAGTCAGATTTTATTGTTTATTTAATTTTTACTTATTTTATCATACATAAGAAAAGAAAGTTTACCATTTTTGATATAGTTTATTATATTACCTATAAAATTTTTACAAAGTATAAGATAAGTATTATCATTACAAATGAAATGCAAACTTGTAAGTATAAAATTTATTTACTATAATAACTTAATTTTTAATGTATATATTTTAATGGTTAAATGTCTAATATTTTTTCTTAGGTTCATCTTCATGTTTTTTTTTTATTTTAGGCCTTCTGGTCCAGTTATGGGTTATATTTACAAAAAAAATAAAATACATTACCATTGTATCCCTTTCTTTTAAAGTCATCAAAAATACTTCCAATATTTTTTACTATAATATGGTAGGAACAGTGAAGGCCAAGCTTTATTTTATCGGAAAATTTTACTGGATTTTCGTTTTTATTTCATTTTCGATTCCGATCATTGGATATACGTATGGTTGCATGAAATTCTATCAGTATCTACAGTTTTTTTTAAATTCATAAAACCTATAACTAAATAAGTTAATAAATTTCGATTAAAATTATACCCAAATATATACATATATATTAAAATTCAATATTATATTAGAAAAATAATTTCATATGTAATAATTGGATTTAACTAAACTTAAAATTTTATAGAACTAAAAAAGCTTATCTCACATTCTAATGTCATATCCAAAAAAAACTTATCTCTGTATTAATTGATAATTCGTATTTTTTATAATGAGATTATTTAAAAATTTAACTCTTTTACAACATAAATTGTATATATTAAGTTAAATTTTAATAAAAGGTTAGCTTTCGAACCTGAAAATAATATTTTTAATTAAGCCTAACTTTATATGAGTACTCGTATAATATCTTAACAAAAAAAATATTATATACATAACAACTTACATGACACTAAAAAAAATTCTGAAAGAAATCTCTTAAAGAGACAAGTTATCCTTTGTATAACATATATTTTATGGTACATAAATAAATAAATAATAAACATCAATTTCCAACATTTATTAAAAACGCCAAGTATAATATGGGTATGTAAAAAATCTAATCTTACCTAAATTCCGAGTGAGAGCGGCAACCCTCCCCCGGAGGCGTGCACATCTCACCCCGCTTAAACGACAGTTTAACTCGGTCCGCGCACCAAATCACCTCGTTTTCAAACAACGAGTAAACCGTATAATTATCTAGAATAATCATCGATTACGCCAAAAAATATCAACATTTCAACGTCATTTTGACATTTCAAATAAATAAATTTTCCCGCCAAAATTGTTTCGCACAGATTATTAATTGGGCTTATTGTGAAATAACAATCGATGGATGAAATAGAAAAATAATAAATATATTTTTTAATAAATTCGTAAATTGTTTATGATGTAAATTTTAATAATTAAACAAAAATGGAGGAAACTCGAAGTGATTCACCGGATACCAATCAAGGGCAAAATTCGAAGACGTCGTTTTTGATTGAGGATATATTGTATCGCGGTCAGAGGACCTTTAAGCAGCCTGATCCTAGGCGATTTGAATATGATAGGGAGCCTAAATATTTTCCTGTGACGAATGAAGTTCGACCAGTGCCTAGAGAAGGGTCGTATTTACAAGTGATGGGTGCTTTGGGCGCGTATCTTCATACGCCAAATACATATAAAGCAGTGGAAACGCCGTATTTTCTTTCTCAAGGTAAGTAAAAGTGTATGGAAATTAATTATCATTGTTTTGATGTATCTATTAAGGTTTAGTGTTAGACATGTAAATTTCTAAAAGGTACTCGATAGAACCAGTTATTGTGTTTTCCCGTGGGAATGAAAGATTTTCCTGTAGTTAAAGGTATCCTAAATGTTTCACCGAGTAATAAGTTATCACTACACAAAATTAGTTAAAATCAGTCCAGTACTTTTTGTGTGAAACGCGAACACACAAACAGACATATAGACAAATAAACAAAAAAAAACATCTATTGTTTTGGGGTCTATTCGTTACAATCATTGTTTTTTAAAAATATTTCATGTACAGATTTCGCTAAGTTACTATTTTATTATATGTATAGATAATATCTAAACATATATTCTGTGAGCACTAACTAGACTGAGATAGGTAGTCTAATCTTTGATTAGGCTTAAAAGTATAAAGAGACAGTCCTTTAAACGAAGAAAAGATCGATAGACGGACGAAAGGAAGGTATTTATTTTAAAAAAACGTTGATCAATGAAACGGCTCTAACGATTTGGATCAAATTTTGTATTAAGATTAGGTTTCGTTTTATAAAGTTTATCTATATACATATATATAGTATTGTATATATAGTAGTGTATTTTCTGAAAAAACGTAATTTTTATATCTCTTCCGAAAAACGCCGAGCGAAGTTCGAGACTAATAACTCAAGAAACAATTATTGCAACCATAGCGGTGCCATTTTTTTGTTTTTGTGTCAGATAAACTAACTCGCATTTCTCCCGCGATATTTCTCTATATTATGTGCATAGTTAAAAATAACGAATTTTTAAAAAAAACTCTAGCCACCCCTTAGGTCTTACCCCTTTAGAGGTCGAATACATGCATACCATACATGCTTTCTTAATGAATATCCTATGAGGCATATATTTGCCAAGTTTGATGTATGTAGAATTTCTATACATGACATTTCGTGTAGGAAGTATTCCTTAGATTTACGCGAATATTTGACATTTTTAAATATATTTTTTTTCTTTTCGAATTAATTCGCGGATTTATTTTGATTTTTGATTCCCGACGTTTCGAATGCTTTACAGCAATCTTGGTCGCGGGAGAGACTAAGGTTATAGATGTCTCAAAGGCGTTATATGTGTACATACTTATTACAGACATTAACTACCCACAAAATTACAAAATCACAACAAATACAAAAACAAACCTATTCCACGGGAACCGTACATTTTTCCGGGATAAAAAGTATTCTATATGTTGACCCGGATAACCAGCTATCGCCATACTAAATTTCATCAAAATCCCTCCAGTGGTTTTTCTGTGATGCGGTAACAGACAGACAAACAGACAGACAAAAATTCTAAAAACTATAGATTCGGCCTCTTCATCGATAATAATGTTTATTTCAATAACATTTTCCAAAAAATATTTAATGTACAGATTCGGCTTAGCTGCAATTTTATTATATGTATAGATAATTCATTTTTACTAAATCCTCCCCCGACAAGTAGATATATATGTAAGTTATGTCCGCGTATAATTGTGGCAAGAATGGTAGCTGCATTTCTCCGCTGAGTCACATTGATTCTTCGGACAAAGACCGGACCAACTCATTTCACTGATAAATATAATAAGGAAGAGACTTTACGTTTAGAATTTTTTTAGCACTTCGATTCCATAACCTTTATAGGGTTTATTGAAAATTTTATAAAAAGATAATTACGAGCTTACGAGATATATTTGTTTATTTTTTAAATTCAAATAAGATTCAGCATTAAACGGCGTTTTTAAATGTTAAATGTTTTTATTTTTCTTTGTTTATTTCTGTTATAATTTTGAAGCATTTTATTTCTGTTTTCTATGTTCTGTGCTTAATTTAAAATACTGATGATTTTTATGGACTTCTTAATATCTAATATTAATATATAAAATTCCCGTGTCACGATGTTGGTCCGGAATGAACTCAGAAACTATTTATCCAATCTTAACGTATTTTTTTCAAAATGTATGACTTGTTACACCTTAAGAAATAAGATAGTTTTTTCCCGTTTATTTCCTTTTTTATTGCAAAATTAACGATTTTCATAAATGTGCCACAGCAACGCGTGGCTGGGTCTGCTAGTTTGATATAGTCTTCTATAATAATTAAAGCTAATAAGTTTTATTATACAAAATGGGTCTACTACTAATTCTAAATGAAAAAGCTTTGAGAATAACTCGAGAAAGTAGCTCAGTGGAGATCAAGTACATACAAATATATTTTTCGTACAGGTGTTCCTTACCATGCTTTGTTCACTCCATCCGAGCTATCTCTCTCCGCACTGAAGCACTGCCGACGAAGGAAAGCAAGGACCGTCTTCTCCGATCCTCAACTTACGGGTATGCCAGAAATCTGTACTAATAATTCTTAACTGTCTTTTACTCGCTCGTGTATTTTATTTGTGGATATTCTAATTATTTTGATATTGATTGTCCATATCCGCTATAGTCCATAGTCCGTATAAGCTGTATATCCGCCAGTATAAAAGTCCATTTGCTTAAGAGAATGTTGTCTCTATATTCCCGTTTTTGTTTTTTTTTCGGAGTTTTAATATTGGTTTCGAAATAAAAATCCGAGATGAAAAACTGTATTTGTAATCGAACCTGCTATCCGTGATTAGTCTCAGTAAAAGACATTCGGTCCCCATTAATGCCATCTCTGATTTTAATCAACTTGACCATTTATTTAGACTTAATACATATATTGTTAAGTAATTAGTTTATATAATTTACTAGGTCTAGAAAAACGCTTCGAGTCTCAACGTTACTTGTCAACTCCTGAGCGGGTGGAGTTAGCAGGAGCTCTCAACTTATCAGAGACCCAAGTGAAGACCTGGTTCCAGAATCGACGGATGAAACACAAGAAGCAAATGAGAAAACAACAGCAACAAAGAGGTAAGACATTCTTTATGTATGTATTCAGCCCTTTTTAACGTCCCACTGCTTGGCACGGGCCTCCCTTCAATACGAGGTGGGTCAAGCCATAGTCCACCACACGGACCAAGTGCGGGGTGGACTTGACATGTCTTTCGAAAACTTGCTAGGTTCTCTCAGACATGCAGGTTTCCTCACGATGTTTCCTTCACCGTAAGACAAGAGGTAATCATGTTGGAAATGAATCGCACATGAAAATATTAGATGTGCGAATATATTTCTTCGTCAACTTGTTCTCATCTTTTTAGTTCACTCTTTACGCAGTCGAGTTTTTTAATTTTGTAAATTAATTCTCCGTTTAAATTTATTTTTCTCTCGTTTTAAAGGAGAGAAAAACAAATTACTTATTCAAAATATCAAAGTTGATAAAGAAAACAGATATTTGAATGGTCCATAGAAATATTTCTGGGAAGAACTTGGCTTACTTAGGCAATAAATAGAAACTTTAAAATAAATAAATATGTCATGACATTAACACACAACACCATCTAGTACCATGGTAAGTTACGAGGCTTGTGTTATAGATACCAGATACTTGATACATTATACATATAGAACTTTTAAATACATACATATTATAAATATAAACACCCATGACTGTAGTACAAGCAATCGTGCTCATCACACAAATGAATGCCCCCAGCGGGATTCGAACTCGCGACCGCTGGCACAGCAAGTAGGGTCACTGCAAACTGAGCCAAACGTGTCGTCGAACTTTAACTAAATTAAACTTCCCAAGATACCTACATAAGTTATTAGACCGTGATTACTCGCATAGTTTCGAAGTACTAAGAAACTGCAAGTTTCCCTTTGCAGGGAAACTTCGGGAACAATCTATTAGTTATAATACGTCTCGTCACTTGTATAGTAGTAATAGTACCTATTATAAATCAGTAAAAGCTTATGTTTGTACATAAAATCAATAAATAATATGGAGTCGCTATTCATGTCTGTTTGTGCGTTTTGTTCTTCATAAGTACGCAACATAAACGTATTTTGATACTGTTTTCACTATAATATTTTAGAGAAAAAGATATACATGTTAATATATAATACATAAGTATTTTATATCATTATATTATATTTTATAAAAAGCGAAATATATAAATATTTTTTTTATTTAGCCCTTTTCAACGTCCCACTGCTGGGCACGCCCCAGTATATATGATGGGGATCAGGATCATGGTCCACCACGTTGACCAAGTACGGATTAGCAGACTGAGCTTGTCTTTCGAAAACTTGCGATGTTTTCCTACGGCGAAGCAAACCACTAATGCATAATTAAAATAGCTATTATATGTTCAGTTCACAATAATGCCAAGCAATTGTTAAATATAAAATTCTCTCTATCTACGAGTATTACATTCCTTCAGAATAAAACTTTTTGGTCGCTAACGTCTAAATTAAAAAAAAAACTGCTTGGTTTTGACAATATTTCTAAAAGCAGTTGTAACAATATTTAAAAAAAGTGTTATAATATATATAAAAAACTAAATGATTGAAAATAAGCTACCTATTTGTTTTGTAGACTGGTCAGAATTTTTCTCTCATATATTTTAGCTTTTTATTATACAAAGATCGCTTGTAGAAAGTCCTTCTAAGGGGCCTCTGTAACGTCCATGGTCTGTGTCGTATTGGAAAACCTCAAAGTCGAGAAAATTCAATTTGACAATCGCGCCACAACTCAAGACGTTCCATAATTGAATTAGGGACACAAGATGGCTGCCTTGGTTGCCATAGTAACGGAACGTCTTGGAAATTTTTGCTGTACAAATTTGAACCATCATACGAAGATTTAGGGTATATTTTTCATTGTTTTCCGTTATTTATAGGGAGATGGATGTTAAGTTAAAGGACAAGGTATCTTATGGCCTGTACTTATGGCTTATATCGTTTATCTTTAATATTTTCATGATGAATACCTTCTTGTAAGTTACTAAAAATGGCCGTTTGGAGACAGTTTACAATATTACAGTATATTAGCGATCCTCCCTGAAATCCTTTAGCTATTCTTTGGAAAATCGAAGAAAAAAAGGCCTCTTATTTCAAATTTACGGCAAAAATGGTCAAATGTTTTTAATTAGTTAGAAATTGTGTTGTTGTAAAATAAATGGTATGCAGAAAGGATATATATGTATTTAAGAATTAAAAAATAAAACCTTATGTTCTTAGTTGTTTTGTATCGGTACCTATCAGTGTAAACTTCATTAAAATCGATCAAGATGTTCATTTTCTATCCTTTATCCTACGGAAATTTCATTTTCCCCGGGATAGATGATTATAGTCCGCGCTCTAATCCGTAATCCTCATGAAATAGCCAAACATAAACAATAAACATACATCTATACATGTATATGTATATAATAAAATTATTGTAACCGATCCCTGTCTGTACATGGAAGATATTTGAGATAAACGATTATTGGGACTCTTTATTAACGTAATAGACCACAAAAAAATATTTTTTAGAATTTTTGTCTGTTAGTCTATGCGTTTCTGCGCTATAATCTCAGACGGCTAAACCGATTTGGCTGCGGCTTACACTAATATATTGCGGTAAGTTTCACTTAACGTTTAGCATTCGTTTTATTTTAATCGTTTCATATATAAAAAAAAATTATGTCAATTTAAAGAATCATCTACGGACGAACCCGAGCGAAGCGAGAGTGATTCGCTAGTACAAACATATACTCATTTTCCTTATATTGCCTAGACATTTTACTTAATACCTGTCCTTTATAGAATTCATTTATTAATTTTATTTATTTATTTAAAAATAAACAATAAAAGATACATTGAAAACGGTATGGCACTCATGTGCTAACAATTTCATAAATGTTATTTTAATTATAGGTTATCAAAACATGTTTTTTTATATCACGTCCGTAATATTTAATTACAAGATGCAAGTTTTCAAGCTTTCCACTGTTTTTTTTTTATTTGTTTTTGTTTTGAATGCTTTAAAGCCCTTTTAGAATTAAGCAAAGCATATTCTTCCGTCGCGGAATACTTTGCAGATGTGTTACTTTATACTCACGCAGGATAGGAATATAGTTATTGTATGGTACATGTCATGTATATTGACGACACGTTTGGCTCAGTTTGTAGTGACCCTACTTGCTGTGCCAGCGGTCGCGGGTTCAAGTCCCGCTGGGGGCATTCATTTATGTGACGAGCACGAATGTTTGTACTCCAGTCATAGGTGTTTATATTTATAATATGTATGTATTTGAAGTTATATACGTGTAGTGTATCAACTACCTGGTATCCATAGCACAGGCCTCGTAGCTTACCATGGAACTAGATGGTGCTTTGTGTTAATATTTCAATATAATTATTATTTATTTTATTCATCGCGAGGGTCTCTCGTCGTCGAGAACAGAAAATCGTCGAAATTCGTATGAGTGCAAATATTATCTACTTATACATATAATAAAACTGTAGAGTTCGAATGTTTGTACGTAGAAAATAAATGCTAAAACCGAGTCAGGAAGATGTAAGAAGAGAAATACCTAAACCCAGTTTTTTTTTCAAATATTTTGTTTCTCTGTCTGTTTGTTTCTACGGGCTAATCTCCGAAACTGTTAGACCGATTTAAATGAAATTTTGCATGTGTGGTACCTTATATACCCGGTCAAAATTATAGATACTTTTGATCCCGGAATATTAAAAAGTTCCCGTGGGATAGTTAAAAAACTATAGTAACTTATACTTATAGCTTAGTACCCAAAAATTTTTGTAGCTAATTTTGTAAAATTTTGCATGATTGATACCTTATATAGCCACAACAGGTTACTTTTTATCCCAGAAAAATGAACGGTTCCCGTGGGATAGATCTGTTTGTGGTTTGCTAGTATAATATAGATTTGAATGAGTATGTTTGTTCAACAGGTTCTATTGCTGTGGATTTTACGACAAAACATCCATCACAACCTGTGGAAAGAAAGGTAGTGTAATTTGTACAAAAAATTGTAATATTTTTGCTTTTGTTTAAAAATATGTTATTACTAATTTATCAATGGAAACACTAAATCTATATATTTTAAGGATTTAGACTAAAGGGTGAAAAAGGTTAGTGAAGCTTATAAGAGATTTTGTTTATTTTTAAATAAAAAATCGATTCAAGCAGAGATATACATAGGATAGCTTTAGGTTTTCTATATGGGAGGTCTCAGATTTGGTTTCCAAGTAAAGAAAATAAAATAAATTAGTCTAAATAAAAAAAAATGCTGCTATAAAAAATGACCTTTTTTAATTTATATTTAAGTTAGCGTAATTTTTTTTATATTAAAAGAAGAATTTTTCCATGTTTATTTAAATCGATATGTATTAATAAACTAACAATATTTAAAGTAGGTACATATATAGTTTTATTTCAGCATTATAAAATTACTTTTAACTAAAAAAAATAAAATAAACAAGCTTCAATATATAAATAAATCTGACCACAAGATGGAATTTCTGTTTTTAATTTAATAGGGGAAACCATAAACGGGGAAATATGGTATAAGCTAATAAAAATATAATTTCAACCAAATATCTTGTAATTTTTAAGATTTTTCACCATTTCAGGAGGATTCTAGAATGTCGACTACACAAACTTCAGAGTCGGAAACGGAGCATAGTGACAGTGACATCGATATCGTGGGGGAAAGCAACTACACAAATTACAATGGCACGTAAAATCTATAGCTTTAGTAAACGGCATTATTCATGTAAGATTTAGAATAAATCACTCGATCCCTAAGCAAACACACCTATCTAAAAATTGTAAATTTAATAATATCTGCTGTATAATAGTCTGCTACATTTACGCAAATATTTGACATTTTAAATGAAACTATGTTATGGGGTTTGCTATTTTAATTTTTTATTTTAATAATTTGTTTGCAACGCTGCGAATATTTTTTTATTTTTTTTTATTTTGTGAGGTGCCTATTCTGGTGCGATTTCTCTTTTTTTATTATTCCAAAAATAGTTTTATTATAAATTTTGCACTTTTTACCGACCTACCGACTGATCATTTTATTTATTGTCTCTTTAAAGTAAAATAAGCGGTTAATAAAAAAAACATAAAGCAAAACAATTTTAAATATTGCAAATATATTTTATACAAGTCGCGTGAATTTAGATAAATAACACAATTAACGTTTTTACAGTACATATGTGTGTTTGCTTTCGGACCATATTATGTAAGTAGTATGTTAGGGAAGTGACAAATAAATGAAAATTATCTGGACATTTCTATAACAGAACTTCCTTCTGAGAAGCTTACAGCATTTATGATTTTTTCCAGAATTTATTATTTATTAAAAAAATGTTTTTATAGAAAAAATATTATTTCATTTTTAGAAATAGTATGAATACTTTTTTATTATAATATTTTTTCAATTTCTGTTATATTTTTTCTATTTTTGTTTGAATTCGTCAAATTATATTGTTTGTGTTAAGGATGATAAAATACTGAAATTAACAATTATTATAAATTAATGTAATTAATGAAGATATAGCATAATCTATGATAATGTGTATGTAACTGTTATGACATTTTTTTTTATATTTTCTTGATGAAAATGGCAAAGGTAACCTTTTATTCCTATCGAGACCCAATTAATTTAATCTAGTCTTTTCTTTAGTATAAAAGATACCTTTATTTATTTACAATTAGACGATTTTTTGTATTAAGTGCACTGCTATATTTATAACAGCAATAACCAAACATTATAAAACATAGATAATAAAATTATTAAGTTATACAGTTAATTAATAAATAACTGATATTTAAATATCAATGATTGAGTATATAAAAAATATATATACATATATACATAGTGCATTTTAGAAAGTATGTTACTGTATCATTTTTTAAGATGCTATAGAGTAATCCGTTTTTAGTCTTTAAAATTGATTAAAGGGCGTTCTAAAATGCATTATATTAAACTGACGGTCCTTAAGCAAATAAATATGTCTCATATCTAATATTTTATTAGAGCATCTTAATAGTTTAATAACTCATACATAAAAACAAAATAAACATAGCTTTGCGATTATATTTTATATTTAAACTAATGATACCTCCTGGTTTTGCCCGCTTTTTTTAAATAATATTTTTTTTATTTATCCAAGGTATATATAAACATAAGCAACCTATGTCATCCTCGGGCCCTCCGATGCTAAAACATTTATTATCATATCCCTAACTTAAGACATGATTGGTTTCCCATACAAACGAAAGCCCTATTTTATTCCTTCAAATTTTTTTTGTGTCTGCTCCAAAGGTTGATCTACGTATATCTCTATACCAAAATTCATTATAATTAGGTCAGTAGCTTAAGTGTGAAAACGTGACAAATTAGCAACGCGCATAGCTATTTTCGCATATACATATATGTAATATCAATTTGAAATATATTTTAAACTAGCAGAACTTGCGGCTTCGCTCGCGTTAAAACTCAATCCCTGTTTTACCCTCTTATGGGATGAATTTCGAAAAATGCTATAATACGTGTTTATTTAACTGTAATGAAGAACATTAATACCAAGTTTTAAGCAATTCTGATCATAAATATTTTTTTGGATTGTGTTATTACGTGTTTTCCCGTGAGAATTAGGTAATCTCCCGTGGTAAAAAGTAGCCTATGTCACTCTCCAGCCCTCCAACTGTCTCCACACAAAAAATCACGCCAATCCGTCTCTCTGTTTGGACGTGAAAGAAGGACATACAAACAAACAAACAAATACACTTTCACATTTATAATATTAGTATGGATTATATTTAGCACAAAGTAAAAAAAATTTTGTGTGAGCATGTTTGCATCCGGACCGTCCTGAGATGTAATGTGCAATAGTAGTTCTAGGTATTTTATCATTTAGTGTTTTTCTAGTCATGAATGACCAGTCATTTTATTAATAGTCACATTTTCTAAGGTTTTTTATGAACTGTTCGTAGGTTCGATTATTGGTTAAGACGAACGTGTCTATTTGGAATAGGAAAGGAAAAGAGAAGGGAATAATACTATCTTCTTCACTCTTTTACTGTTATTTGTATATTTAAATGGGAGTATGAAGTTATATAAAACAAATTAAAAAGTAAAACATTTTTGTGACTAAACAATTATAGAATATACATATATAATAATGTACATATTAATGTAGAATTATTATTATATAAATAAGTAGTTTATATTATTGAAGTATTTAATTTCGCACTAGTTTATATCCGCGGCTTTGTCTACATGAAAAAGTGATTTATTTCATTCTTAGATAGTGCCATCTATTGATAAGTTCATAACTAAAGTGTTGTTACAATAATGTTATATTTATCAATAACTTTTATATTGGGGAAATTCCAGGATAAAAAAATTATATGTACTTGTCATGGAGATGACCTTTGTCTGTGTAAACTTTTTTCCAAATTTGTAGAAAGGTTCAGGCATAATTAAATAACAAAAAATAGGTAGATCGTATTTTATTAATTACTAGCGACTCACCCTAGCTTCGCTTGGGTTCGTCCCTATCTTGATTCCTCATACAAACTTTCATCCCCATTTTCACCACCATAAGGAGTTATTTCCAGGATAAACAGTATCCTATGTCCTTTCCAGGGTCTCAAACTATCTTCTTACCAAATTTCATCTAAATCGGTTTAGTAGATCCAGAGATTACTCCTTACAACGTCACAAACTCACAAACTTTACCTCTTTATAATATTAGTATAGACTAGCGACTTTCCTTCGATTTGCTCGGGTGCGTCCTTAGGTACCTTATTTTTTTCGAGTGGGACCCAACTTCTTTTTCTAAAATTAAAGTAACCTAAGTTATTTCTTATAAAATTAGCAATTTGCCAGTGAACGTCCCGTTAAAATCAGTCCAGCCGTTTCGGCGATGAGCCGGAACGAACAGACAGACATGCAAATAAAAATTTTAAAAAATGTATTTTTCTTACATTTTGTGACATTACAAACAGACACTTCAATTTTTGTATCTGTATAGATAGATGGAAAATAATTCCAAACGTACCCGTTGACTTGCAACACCCAATATTAGGTGTTTATAAAATAATATATTCTTCTAAAATGTTATTCAGGATGTTGATTTTTGATTCTTAATTTTCATTGAATTTTGTATGCAAATAATCGTGTAGAATAAATAATAATAAGTTAGATATATAGAATGGAATCTTTGATAATAATAGTGGTATCTTGTAAATACTAGAAACAAATAATGCTCAATAAATAAGATTATTACAACAAGTGTTTTTTTATTTTTTTAATAGAATACCTACGTGAAATAAATTTCTAGATAGTTTTATTCTATTTTAAGATTTCAAAGCCAAAACGCTAAAATTATAAAAAATAATGAGATGAAAAAAAATACTTCACCAAAATGTGTTGGGTATTTCTAAATACTTAAGTCTTAAGAACTCAAGTGTTTCAAGCTTATACTTGCAAAGTTATATGGCTCTAAAATTTTCTTCTATACAATATGTGCAATTTCCCTTCCACCTTTTGAAGGTAATGCTCGGAAAAATGTCTGATGCGTGATGATGGGATAGTAGAGATAATATTAGAGATATCTCTGTTCATTGCTTTTTTTATTATTATGTGAACTCTTTATTTGCTTATATTGCTACAACCAATTTATAATTTTTCTTCTCAAAATATACGACTACTTTTTACGTAGACTTTTTACTTTTTCCAATTTTTCTTTAACATGTTTTAAACTATGCTTTAAAATGAAAAAAAAAAACACAACGAAAACATCACTAATAGCGAACTCTTTTATCATAACTGCTAAGCACTTGATGAAATTTTAAATGAGATAGTAGAAATGTAAGCGCAAACTTTCTAACTTCGGTCTTCTACTGAGTATATCATGACATGAAAACCTCAGACCTCAAGAGCTGAGGTCATACATAGTAGACCAGCGAGGCAATAAGCAATACATAAATAAACTAGCGGAATACCGTTAGTACTATTGATTTGAGATTTAAAACCTAAATACCGTATAATAAATAATTATCTAAAGCCTTCGTTTGAGCTAAATTACTATACAAAAATTATGCAACAATAAAAAAGATCACAAAATTCTGACGTGATGGAGTTTCTTGATTATTTTTCGTGCAATGAGCACACAAAAATCTAGAGGAAACACTATTTGAACTTCAAAAAGATTAGTTGTAGGACTGTGTAATTAGTCCAACTTTTTAATTTGCAGATAATAAAGAAAAAAACCCATTTCACACTTAAATTCTAGTCTGAGTTTGAAATGAATTTTTTTTTTTAATTTGTCTTTGAATTTTTTTGAAATAGGCATCACTTTAAATCCTTTTTTAAAGAATCATTATAAACTATGTAATAACGACTAAGGATCATTCCTTAAATTATTTTTCTCTCACACAGAATATAATTACGATCGCTTACTTACATATTGAATTTAGAAAATTATTTTAAGACTATATGAATATAGAGATCTACAAAAGAGATAATAATATGAAGTAAATGTACACTTTTTTAATAATATTTCGTAATATACAATTAGAGTTTGGTCACATTTTTCATTTATCGGTATTTTAGTGTAAAACATACATTCATATTTTGTTTCAGAATAACCGAAAACACACACAAATAATATAATCAAACAAAGCAAATTTTAAATTTCTTGTCGAGAATGTTCCATAC